AGAAATATTCTATTAAATATTTTTAACATCAAATATAATAAACCGAGAAAGAAATATATTAATAGCCACCTAAGCAGATACCAAAAAATATATAAAGAAATAATCTGATAAACGCCCAAAGAAATTTCACTTTTTACAGAATCACACAAAGCGATACATAGAGAGATTCGCGCATAAGAGAAATACATAGAGAGATTTTCAAAAAAGACAAGTATTACGGGCCCATATAAGATAAATTAAATGAAATGAAAAAAACTAAAATTCTTAAAATATTATTTATATATAAATAACCTACAAACGATATATTCGAATTTTTAAGTATCGAATTTTCTGTCCTCTTTTAGAATCCCATTCCTTATAAAAGAGTTTCCGAAAATAAGAGGTCCTTATTTTGGGGTGTCTAGCTGTTCCCGGTTTGCCGGTACGCGGCTTTGCTTAATTAGTCGTTCTTTCAGTCGCCCCTGCATCTGGCATCTGTGTTATTCTCATTTGCGCTCCAAATCGCATGTGTCTCAGTGACTTGCTGCACCTATAGCAGCCATCATGTTCAGCAGCACCAGCAGCAGCAGCAGCACCGCAACCAACATCCTCGAACTTGTAGGTCCTTGCTCGTGGGCCTCGTCGGACAGAATATATGCGGATTTATCCCTCGCTTTGGCAATTACGTGTCACTTGCAATGGCGAATTTTTTTGGCTCAGCTTGCGCCTGTTTAAATCGGCAGCAGTGCACCACCACCTATAAAAGCCTAATGACTGGCCTACTATTCTACATACTTTGGGATTGCTTTGCAGCGCAGACTAGTGCAGCCATGGCCCGGTCCAGAAAAAGCAAGCTGCAGAACCAGAAGGCTTGGCTATAGAAATCTTGAAAGCCAACATATTTTCGGGACCTGGATAGGTACCAATACTATCTTGGGGTTCCTTGTTTCTTATAGTTGCAGTAAAATATGTACCACAGAAACTAGTTCCAAGTCTTAAGGCCCCTATATTACTGAAGCATGACTGACAGGCTGAGGCCGCGCGTCAGCAATTCTCTGCCGCGCTGCCCTCGGCTTTTTGAGGGCTTACGATAGAAGTCTATTTGATGACCAATATTATTTCTTGGGGTCCTTATTATACTATCATCATTGTCAAGGCCCCTACACTATAGAATGAGACACGTATTTTATTTCTGAGAGCTTTTGCGTCCAATGGCTCCTGCAGTTCAAGGCTCGCAGTGCTGCTGAGATGCGGGTGGCCAAGGCTCGGTCTTGCCTACTGCCTCGCCAGAGTCATGTGGGAGTTTCCGAAAATACGGGGTACCTTATTTTGGGTTCCTTAAAATAAGGATCCTACTATGTAGGGCACTATATTAGGGTCCCCTATTTTCGGAAACCCCCCATGTTAGTAAAGGGGTTTCCTCGATGTGTTGCTCTGAAAGTGATGGCAAGCGTGTGCAGGACTTTGTTGTGTTTTCAGACTTGTGTAGATGCTTGAAAGCTGCGTACAATAATGACAGACGGAGCAGAGGCTAGTGAAGTTTGCCACACGTATACATCACATGCTTATCAAAGCTGCAATCAGCCTGCTTCAGAGTCAGAGGAAGCCGAGCGCCAGGCAGATCTCGCACTTCATCTGGCAAGACATACCATATAGATGGAAGCTATTCGTGGAGAGGGGGGGCTCATTCCACTGCGGCATGTTGCTTGGAGATGTTTTGGCCTGCCGTACACCGCATCCACTCGAGGCGGCCCAGAGCGATGCTGCCGCGGCGCAGCCTCTGCAGTCAATACCCATGCCTGTGTGCTGTCCCTGCTTCTGTCCTGTGCTTTGGGCGCTCGTAGAGCTGCTCCTGTCAGCTCCGTCTACAGAAATAGCCTTCTTTTGCTTGGCTAAGCAAGTCGAGCTGTTGAGATGTTGAGACCTTCGGCTTCTTCTCTTGATGTGTCTACGTTCATGTTTGCATTGACACCACCGAAACCATGCAAAATATAGTGGCCCCTCGGCACGATTTCGTGAGATTGGCTAAGCAAGAGTGGCACTGTCGAGCAGCAAACGACATCTGAGGCCCGAAGTGGTAGCATCGCACGACTCACACGAAGACCAGAGCTGCAGGCCTTGTTGATGCATTGCGACCTCGTGGCCCAACTATCATCTGCGGATATGACCTGTCAGAGCGATGTTGCAAGCGCATGATGATGACGGTGAGCTGAACGCTGTGGAGTTCTGACCCCAGACTGGGTAAGTAGCTAGTTGTTAGCTTGAAGCTGTCGACTTCGATCATATGATGTCGCTCTTAGGAATTCTGATGCTGCGACCTTGTTGAGAAACCTGTGCAGCAGTACAGGTATCCCCATTTCACAAGCTCGCAACTGGAGGCGATGGGGGCAGTTGCAGAGTTGCGGACAGAGCAATTTTTGCACGTATGTGCCCTTGCAGGCATCGCACGATTCGATGGACACCGGCAACTTGTTGCAGGCCTGCACTCATGTCAGAACGCCATTCTAGATCCGCGGTCGATTTCTCGAGGATCTGACGTTGTAGCACCCAGACTCTGCAGAAAATGATCACTTCGCGAGCTCATTGGAGGCGATACAACAGAAGCCGGTGCGCTTCATGGGGTCATGTGAGCAGACACAGACACCGTGAGGAGACCGTCTCGCAGGAGGACTCTATCAAGATTTTCATAGAAAATGCAGAGCCTCGCGAGCCGGACGAGCCGTTCGAAGATCAGGCCCAGAGAAGTTTACCGTGTACTGCAGTCGGTCAGGGATTGGTTTCGGAAGTCAGAGTCGTATCCAGCTCCTGGCTATTTGTCATGGTCATTGCATTGTCGACACAGTGTCGTGGCTCTTTGCATCATATGCCAGAGCTGTTGCGATATCGAGTCCTGTTGCATTGCGAGGACGAGGCGTCTGCAGAGCTGGTGCAGTCATTGGCGGGAAATGCTCCCGGGGACTCCATGGCATCTCGATTGATGACTCCTCATTTAGAGGCAAGAGCTCCATGCTTCACGCCCCTGAAGTTCCCTGGTCTTTGCATCTTCGGCCCCTGAGGAGTCTGAGGGCTTGGAGGCGTCGCCTATGTCTGTCTCAGCCTTCAAAGCATCTCAGGACCGGGCTGAAATTTGGAAGGTTTGTTGTGTTCTGGGTTGTGTCCGTTGTTTTTTCGAGGACACTGCTTGCTCACCCGATGACCGCGCTGCGAACGTTATCGAGGATGTCGTACAGGTGGATGGCCCGCGCCAAGGACAGCCCGTAGCTGTGCGTGCAAGGAAAGCCAGATTCTGTGCAAGATCCTGGCAGCTTCCCAACCTTGACGGAGGACGGGGCGTCGTCGCGAGTGGGGGGGGCAGGCGTCAAGAAGAGGAATTGATCTCGGGTAGTTAGTTTTCCTGCTCAGCAGAACCCATGAGTGTACAGCATGCGGGATGGCGAAGACCGCGACACACCGTAATGCCGTGTGCTTCCATGTCCCAGGATGTCAACGCGATGCTCCCATCGCTTTTGGAGAAGCTTCAACAACCACTCCTTCAGGCATATTGGGATTGTGCTTTTGTGGTTCTTGATCCCGCAGGATGAGTTGTGCTGCTTGCATTGAGCCTAGCCAATGTTGAGTTCGTCTGAGGCAGAAGAAGATTCCTGCGATTAATCCGTTCCTGCCGTTCATCCAGATGAGTGCCTTGTCTACAGAAGAAAGCTCGTGCTTTCGTCCTGCCGACTTTGGGTGCTGGTAGAGCCGCTCCTGTCAGCTCGGTCTAGACAAAGAGCCGATTCGTTTGGCGAGGCAAGTCGCGCTGTTGAGACCGTCGGACTCTTCTCTCGATTCGTCTGCTGTTCTCGTTTGCATTGACGCTACTGAAACCATGTCTCCACCTCGACCCGGGCTCGTGACTGACTAGCGAAGAACGGAAGATAGTGGAAGATTGTCGAGCGATATGCGACATCTGAGCAGCACAGGTATCGCGACTTTGCAGGCTCAACCCTGGAGGCGACTGGGGCAGTTTAATTTGCAGACTTTTCAGAGCCAGGGACACAACAACTTCTGCGCTGAACTTGTTGCAAGCTCGTGTTACAGAGCCTTTCAGTTCTCCCCAGATCTCGCGATTTGACTTCTCAAAATTATAATAAGATTTTCAACTTTCCGGGACAAGAATGCATCAAGTCAGACTCCTTGAGGAGTCTGCGGGCCTCGAGGCGTCGTTTGAGTCTGCCTCAGCCTTCAATACATCTCAGGACCGGCTGCAGTTTGAAATATTTGGTTGCGTTCTGGATTGCGTCCACTGGTATTTTTGCGAGGACACCGCTTGGACATCAGATGACCTCGTTGGAAGCGTTTCCGGCAGCTGCCCAACCTCGATGGAAGAGGCTGCTTGTCGCGGTTGGAGGAGCAAGTGTCAAGTAGAGGAATCGTTTTCGTCTTTGCCCTCTGTCTCTGTTCTCTGTTTTTGTGTGTCTGTGCGCGACATCCCCTCCACTCCAATACTTGGGATATCTTAAGATTGAAACTTGAAAGCCTAACGCTTGCGTGGACGATCGAACCCATGATAAGCTACGCCTGGCGCAGATGGGATAGTTTTTGATTGGAGTCAGGCTTTGAACCCTAATACAAGTACTAGCGTTCGTTGGGAATCTCTAAGAAGTCTGGACTAGACCGCAACGGGTAAACAAGATAGTGTCAGCTTAGATCGCACATATGCGTGCGTTGGAAAACTGTTCGGTCGGTCCTGCTGCCCCATTGGGCTCCGTGACCTAAATCCGAAACGAAATGCCGAGAGTCTACATGCTGAGAAGCATTCATGATAGCGCTGGCTTTTCCAGCTGCGAAGACACAGTGTGGGGTCGTCACACAGAAGCCATTTTATAATTTTATTTTGCATATTCGGAAACTGCGGCCTGTCTGCCCTGTTATTACCACATCATGATCAATTTAGAGCTGATCACTGGCTCTTGCTGACTTTCGCGATAGCATCGTACTATCTCCGATTCGACCCGGCTTCCAGGACGACCTATGTACCTGGAAGCAAATCCCAGAGTGCATCCATTCTTGATTCTACCTCTCGCGAGTCGTTCGAAGATCAGGCCTCCGAGCGAGTTTGTAAATTTATGACACTGTGCTGCTTAATATCTGCCTGCGCTACCCGTGAGAGTTTGGTGTCGTGCAGTACCAACCAAATTCTGGGCATTTCAAAGCTCAGAAATCCCAGCTCGGGAAGGTCGCTCTTGACCCTCGTTGCTGAGCTCGAAATAGCTCGAACATATCTCATTAGTTATTAGCGCAAGCATTGGAATTTGTCCGCCTTCGGCTGAAGTGAGACGAGCTGGCAGGCCATGGCTGGCACTTTGGAGGCAGGTCTCAGCTCGAGGTGCGCGCCCACTTCTAGCTGCAAGCGACGTTGCGCCCTGCTTTGCCAAGCCCGGCAGGTCCGACAGCCCCGTGGACCCCGAGGGAGCTTCGCACGCT